CTCCTGCCCGCGTGATCTTGTATTTTTGGTTCATGCGGTGCCCTTCCCCCTACCTCGTCACTCCCTCTCCCTCATATAACGAGTTGCCGCGACAAAAGTTTCTCTCTCTGAACCTAGACTTAAATGGGAAACAACGAAAATGCCAAAAGCAAAGCAAGAAAGTTGAAACGACTTGACGGTACAGACGCATGCGTACTCGTCCCTTTTCTTCTCCCCCCTCTCTTCCACATGCGAGCAGAATTGAATTCTATACTTGACTCTATACCAAACTCGCTCTCTCCGAGCTTGCTGCAACAACAATTGCACGCAAACAAAATTTCGGCACAACACCGACCTAACCTAATATTCGCGGCCTGCGTTTCGGTACGCACGCAGTCAAATGATAATAATTTGCAAATACCTAACTCACTGTTTATTCGATGGTGAAAAATTAGCTCAGCGTTTATACGGCAAAGTTTACCATTTTGCAAATTGTTATTTGCAAATAATACGTGCGTATAAACGTAGTAATCGTCGCTGTAAAAGGGCCCAGACATGCTGGCGCCATCAAGTGTTGGTACCAGCCGATTAACAGTGTATGGCCTTGTGGTGTGATTGTACCAGCTGCTGTCGCGACATCAAAAACAATTTGGAAAAGAGTAAAAAAAATCAAAAGTTTCAAAAAGTCAGGTCAAAGGGTATTGGTGCTTAAAAAGTGTCAAATTTCCCCTCGGTCGAAACGGCAGCACTGCCTCCCGTCACAGTTTCGATAAGTCGAGCTCCATTATTACGATAAACAGTTGCTTTCAGTAATCGATTTTCAAAGGATCTGTCAATTAATAATGGGAAATTTCTAAAATCCCAAAATTTTTGACAGTCCCAAGCGTGTCAAAAAGAGTGGTTTCTGTGCTTTGGAAAATAAAAATAATTGGTTTTTTATTTGTATTTCTTATACATTGAATATGTCTGGAAAAAGACAGGCAACATCAAATTTAAACCACGAAAACTGGGATCAGGAAGATGAGCCCGAAGAACGTGGTACATTTCGCAAGGCCTCGGAAGACGTGCTAAATAATCGCGTTATTAAGAAGGCGCGAAGAAAAGTAGCCACTGGCACCGTCGGTGCGGATTCCACTGACGATGGTGCCCCAAAAAGCGTGTTCAGTGGATTTGCAGGTAGAAACATTTTTATACAAAAATTTTATAAGTTGAAACTCATTTGTCTTACCCCAAAGGGTTTGGGAAGGCGACCGGGTCAACGGCATCGGCGTCTCCGTTCTCTTTCTTGACGAAAATTTCTGCACCTCCCGCCGATAGCACAAATCCTACTGATACTTCTAAAGCTACTCAACTATTTTCCTTTGGTACCGTTGGTAAAACGTCTTCATCCTTTGATAAAAAAGATACTACGTCTGTTGAAAATGGTAACAATGCGAAAGGAAAGACGAATGATAACATAGGAAAATCGTCAAGTTATCAAAGCAAAATAAGATGTTTAAACCAAGCTGTAAGCGAATGGATAAAGACACACGTTGACCAAAATCCCCTCTGCATTCTTTCACCTATTTTCAAGGACTATGAAAAATACCTCAGTGAAATAGAAGAGGAAGAGAAAAGTGTGGAGAAACTTCAGACTAATATTGAAATAACAGATGATAAAAAAATTACCTCAGATGCGGCGCCATCAGTGGGTAATTTTAAATTTTCTTTATCTCCGGCTAAATCTAGCACGACCATTGCCTCGACAAGTACTGCAGGGCCAAAATTTTCCTTTGGCCCTACTTCTCCGCCAGAACCTACATCAACTTCTTCGACTAGTACAGCCAATATATCTAAATCGGCTACTGACAAAAATAACACAAATACTTTTAGTTTCGGTATAAAAACTCCAGAAAACCAAAAAACAGAAGGTGATGCGAAAACCATTTCCGCTCCTAAAGGTTTTAGTTTTGGATTTAAAAGCGATGATAAACCATCATCAACGCCATTCACATTTGGTAAACCGGCAGGAACCAATGAGGACTCAGCCAAAAACAAACCGGGGTCATTTAGTTTTACTCCAGGCTCTACCCCATTTAGTTTCGGTAATATAAAGCCACCAACTGCAATTGCTGCCTCCACTTCTGAGGATGTCAATGAAGCAGATGATGAAGATCAACCACCAAAAGTGGAATTTAAACAGGTTTTAAATTTTAAGTTTGATTATTTTAAACTTGTGAATTTAACTTTTTTATTTTATGAAAGGTTGTGGAGGACGATGCTGAGTATTCGAAAAAATGCAAAGTTTTTGTTAAGAAAGATGGGACATTTGTTGATCGTGGTGTTGGGGTATTGTACTTAAAACCCGTGAAAAACTCTGAGAAGACACAATTGCTAGTTCGAGCGGATACAAATCTGGGGAATATTCTGGTGAATCTAATTTTAAGCGAGGGTATACCAACTCAACGTATGGGCAAAAATAATGTGATGATGGTGTGTCTACCTACACCAGATGTAGAAAAAGCTACGTCGATGCTATTGCGTGTTAAGACGGCAGAAGAAGCTGACGAGCTATTGGCAGAATTAGAGAAACGCAAAAAATAAAATAACTATTTTCAAATTGTTATAAATATCGGTTGTATTATTTATTTGGCTTGCAAAATTTTAACAATTTTACCAATAAAAATAATAGCGCACAAATAAAATTATTCTATTGTTTCGAATAATAAAATTGAGATTGCTGCACAACTGGCTCTTTGTGCAAACGCAAATTTGATTTTACAGTTATATGTTCGGCATCAAGTAAAGTGGTCACACATATCGTATTATGTAAACACAGTCTAACTTAACCGGACAATACTGTCACGACAATGGGCGCGTTCATAAGACGTAGCTGTTTAGCTCATCTGCTACAAAACTGCTGGCAACTGTTGAACCCAACAATTACGTCTTAAACTATGTTCACATATCAATATTATCTCAATCAAAGCTCGTTTTTTAATCACCCCGTTTACACAGGCAAATCTCAGATTATAAGCCGTCAACAAACCTCTTTTACTTGCTAGCGTACATTTTTGTTTGCTTTTACATTTGGCATTTCTCCTCTCTTTCGCAAAAACAATCGATAAAACTAGCATGTACACCGAAAAGTTATCGGTTAAATCTGAGATTATTTTATAATTACAGATTAACAAGGGACGAATTTTATATGGCTAATCTCTTGTTATAATTACAGATTAGGGTGTTAAGCTCGAAAATGAGGGTAATCTACTTATAAGGGAACCTAGTATTAGAAACGGCTTGATGAATATGCTGCCAAATGAACAGCTGATAAATCTAAGCAAATGAAATTGCAACAAATAGAAATAGTTGCGCTGATAGTATTTAGAATTAAACCTTGAGCTGCCGCCGTGTTGAAAAAATCGTTCATTGTTACAATGAATTAAACAGTAAAATTATATAGCAAACATCTTAAGAACATATATTTAGAAACGTAGTATTATTATAAAATATTTTAGTTACTTTATCACGTTAGCGGCATTAAATTTAATATAAGCGGCGCAAGTCTTTTCGATCAGCTGTTTAGGCTGAGCCCAACACGTTGAGTTCAGGTAGCGTAAAAATTTTCCGCTGGAAAAAATGGCGGAAAGTTGCCAACTGTTGGGCTGAGCGTAACTACTCAACTGTTCGTTTCTAAGACAAATAGCCAACGGTTGGGCAACAGCTACGTCTTATAAACGCGCCCAATGAAGATATACGTATTAGTTGTAAAAAAAAATTAAATATCATTATCGAGGATTTCCACATCATGCATATAACATGTGATCGACAAAGCAGTCGTTGTATTTAACCGGAGCTTCTACCTCCGATTTGTGGTAACCGGGCATTGAACAAACGGCCCTAAGTAAGATCATGAGCTAAACCAAGGCATATTCAATAAGGCAGAAGTGACAATTCTGTCGAGCTATCTCATAGCAGACTGTAATGTCAAAAAATGTAAAAAACGAAATTAACCATTTGTTAATGAACTTACCATATTTGATAACACTCAATAAGTGTATGATTCAAACAAGAAAAACTGTTTACAGCGTTGACTCGGTATAAAATTTAACAAGCAAGTTGCGGCTTCGCACGCTTAACGTTGTTCATGTATCAAATCATACGTACATTAGTTCCATTATAAACGAGCTCCAAATTCAAGTAGCTCCTTGCTTCTCTGGTGTACATGTCACTTTTTAAATATGGAAATGCCAACAAATCGTGTAAAGGCAAATTAGATTTGTTTCTGTACAAAGCAGATGCACGTACATACTAAATAGAAATTCTTGGGAGTAGTAACTTCGTTTATTTTGGCCGAAAATACAAAGCTCGAACCATAATATTTGGCAACAATTTACAAATGAAAATGAACACTGTCGAATGCCCAGTTGCTTGCGAAAAAAAAGCAAAACGCGCTTGCGTTGCCGGTTACATCGTCTGAAAAATATTTGATGCATCGAAGCAAAACATCGATATTTTCGATGCTTTTCCGACATCTCTATTAACAGCTGATCATCAATTGTTTGCCCCACGCTTTGTTTACATGTACATATTTACGACGCGTGATTTGGCTAACATTTTGCAACTTTTTCAATACTTATTAGTAGACTTCTTTCTAAAAACCAAGAAAATTAAATTATGGAAAAACGGGAAGTTGCATTACGCGAGGTAAAAAATATTGTATAATAAAATATGAGACAATTTACCTTTTTGAATGTGCATGCTTATAGGCTTTGACCCGGAATGAGGAAGAAACGGCGCGATGGAAAAGTTACAAGGAAGAAAACATTACAGCTATTGAAAATCTAGACAAATTTCGTAATTACCTCACTGTAGATGTAATGGTTCCAATAGGTCAAAAAGCTTATATGCCGGGCCAACTTATTCATACAAATGAAGTGCTCGTAGGTCATTATCAAGGATATTTTTCCAAGTGCTCTGCGCAAAAGGCAAAAGAAATATGTGAGTACAG